GTTACTTGAGTTGAGTTGGCTCATCATCTGTGTGATATTCCAATTGTGATCTTCGCAGTGTCATATTGTGATTGGTTGTTGGGAGTATGTCARAGAGAGAGAAACACTGTGTGTATCCTCCCCTTCTGTGCATGGTTGCTATTCCCCTGTTTATCTCTGTTCTGTGTGCAGTTGGACTCTGTCTCCTCCTCCCCTCTGTCTCATGCATGTATGGGCGGGTGTGAGTTCTTCTGTGTGTGAGTGGCAAATAAATTGTCAGACAACCAAGTTCATAACAGTTGGTATCGGAGCGAAGATTGGACTTGGAGCACTGAGGGTTGAGCGCAAAAGGGGCATCCTCTTCGTCTGGCCCTAATTGGCGAGAAGTTCCATGGTGGCTCTGCATCTTCAGTGAAGATCCAGTAGAGAAGAGGATATGCAAGCGGTGATTGCAGAGTATCAGTGTGCGATTGATCAGGCACCGTGAGCCTGTCTGAGTGCCTGACAAGAAGTGGCGAGAACAGGGGTATTTCGCCATCCACCTTTTGACCTCAGTGGATGACTGGGATCAGGGTGGCGAATTACACCCTAATCGAGTGATAACTGGGTGGCGGCTTCAATCCCAGTATAGCGCTGAGGGAGAATTGATCGCAGGATCAATCTCCTGCTGAATTAACCCTATTCAGGGCTAAATTTAGCACCAGCGGCTTACCCCTGCAGTGGCGAGATATCTTCAAAAGAGTTTTCTCTCGCCACTGAGGCAGATCCAGTGCATCTGAGAGTTGGGGCTGAATTGCCACATCATACTGGATCAGATCAACAAGTTTCAGGAGATTCTAATCGTGGAAATCAGTGGAAGAGTGTCTGCATGCTAGCGGCGAGACCAGGGTCTGGCAGCCATAGCCCGAGCTTCATCATCCACTGAGTCAAACACCTCAAGTGAGTGTGTTCCGTGTACCTCCCTGGGTAGCGATTTGTTTAGGAACAGTAGACTCTGAATTGATGGTCTGTCTGTCAGTAGGGTCACAGTTTTGAAACTGTTAGACTGCAAGACAACCATAGCCATCTTCTTCCTCCCTACCTGACTCATATCTCACCTTCTATTGACCTGTTCTGACTCAAAATTGTTCTGGGACTGTATGACAGTATTGCGCTGCACCCTGTATGTTCATTCAGTGAATTTTGTGCAGAAAAAGTAGTGATACAGTGGATTTGAGTTTTGCACTGAGTCTATTTATAGTCTGTGCTATCTAGCGTTAGTCACAACTCAAAATCTGTCCGTCAGAATTCAAGTCTGTCAGTCTGGGGTGAATCGCAATTCAGTTTTTGTCATCTGTGCTGAAGCGCTAGCCCTGAATCAGTGAATTTGGGCCATTACAGTGAAATACTGAAAATCGCAAAATTTATGAGTATTTCTGTTGATGTCAACAGTGGCGAAATTTGAGTTTACGGCTGTCAGGGTGTAGAGTACTACATCGCTACTACTTATTGTTGTGTGTTTCAGTCAGTTCTTGCCTTTATCTTTCACTACCACTAATCTTCTTTGTTTTCTGATGGCCTGTGGAATGCTAGTGACCCCTGGAATGCACTGATAGTGTCTGTAGTAACTTTAGTGAAGGTTCAGTGTCAGGCAAAGGAAACCGTTAGTGAATGGTTTTACTGGACTAATAGTCAATCTGATTACTGACCCCAGTGGTTGTATTCTAACCCTCACCGCTTGTGCCCATTAACCCACCTTACCCTGTGAACTGACTCTGCAGCGATTTCTAAGTATCTGAGGGATTTGAAAATCGTTGCATCCCAGGCTGTCTCATTTTGTTAGTTTATTGTTTTGAAAGGGAAGATGTCTGACGCGCCTGACTCAGGTGAGGGAAAGGTAGAGGTAGTAGTCAAGGAGGAAGAGAAATCTTCCCCCTCTACTCCTACCCCTCCTCCTCTCACCCCTGCTCAACGGTGCAAGAGAGAGATTCAAGAGAAACTGCGAGAGCAGCAGGCGCTACTCGCAGAAGCAGAGAGACAGGAAGCTGCAGAATTGGAAGCTGCAACAGATGCTTCCCGCAAGGAATTTCTGCTGCAGCAAGCAGAGAAGACCATGGCTGATGATAGGGTGGCCCAGTGCACAAAGTATCTGGCTGAGCTGGTGATTCTGCAAAACAAAATCACAGCCAGCCACTTCACTATTGGGATGAGCGGATCCAGCCTTTGGAAACTAGGGTAAGCAACCTGGGAACTCAGCAGTCCAAGATCCTGAATGCAATCCAGAGTTTGACTGCTCAGTTAACAGCGGCCAACCTGATCAATCCTCTGGTCCCTGTGGTCCCCTCTCCAAAACCCAAAAGGCCTTCTCAGCCTTCTTCACCCCCTGGATCTCTTCATCCCTCTCACAAGTCATCTCCCTCTGTCTCCTCCCAGGCTAAAGCCCCACCTCCTCCCACTTTCGCTGCTGTAGTTGCAGGGGATCAGCGAGGACCCAAGATCCCTGCACCCAGCAAATTCAAGGGCGATGACCCTAAGATTGATGTTGGGGACTGGGCAGCAGGAACCCGGGCCTACTTGAAGGGGTTCCAGTGCCCAGAACAGCAGAAAGTGGCCACCGTTGTGGGGCTGCTGGAGGGTCCAGCCCAAAAATGGGCTACATCTACAGCCAGCGCCCAGTCACAGACTCTGGAGGATTGGGCCTTGGCACTGGGGGTTGACAAACTTTTGCAGGCCCTGGAGGACAGGTTTGCAGACAAGGAGCGAGCACGCAAAGCTGCTGATAAAATTGTACGCCTGGGCCAGCAGCGTTACAGCGGCGGTCTGCAGGCCCTTTTTGCTGAATTTGAACAGCTTACCTCCACCCCTAGATTAGTGATGTCTGCTGATGATCTGCTGACAAACTTTTGCAGGGCTGCGCCTGAAAAGTTTTTTGTGCCACTATACAACGCAGGGCACAAAGACTGGAGGTCATTCGGCCGCGCAGCACTGGACATGGAGGCCAAACTTCATGTCCAGGCCCCTTCCAGTGACAGGAAGAAAGGCGCTTTCCCTCACGGTGGTAGAAGGGGAAAAGCGGCCTTTGCGCATGCAGGATCTGCGTCATCTTCTGATGCAGGATCCCGGCCTGGTACACCGCCAGGTGGGACTGCATCAGCTGCTGTCACAGATGTTGCAGCGGCCATGCAGCAGCTGCAGGCTGCGCTGGGGGCCTTCCAAAAGGCCGGGTCTTCCTCCAGCACAACCTCCAGCAGCAAGGGGAAGAGCCAGGGACGTCGCTCTTCAACCCTTGCCTGACGCCCTAACTTGCCAAGAGACGTCTGTTTCCCAGCAGACCCTCTCAACCCCAACACTCTCCCATGGCATGATCTGAAGATCCAGGAGGGAGTGTGGAGGAAGAGGAAGGAGAGAGGAGTCTGCTTGAGGTGTGAGGGACAACACTTCCTGAAAGACTGCCCCTACATGCCTAGCCCAGCTCAGTGAAAAAACTGAAGCTGAACCTGGAGACTGCAGTTCCCTCCAGTGTTGCACCTACATCTACATCTGCAACAGCTTCAGTTGAGACTTGTGTCCTTCCCAGTATGGGGACTGCGCGGGCGGCATCCTTCACTTATGAGGATCCTGACCCGGATCAGGAACCGGACCAGTCCGAGTGTCAGTCACTTGCTACTTTTCTCTTTCATCTGAAAGAGAAAAAGAAGAACACGTCTGATCTCATACTCCTTCGGCCCCTGATCAATCACACCAGAGTCAAAGGGCTGCTGGACTGTGGAGCCACCCGAAATTTCATGTCTCCCAGTGCAGTCAAAAAACTGCATCTGGGCATGAAAGTGGTGCAACTGCAGCAATCGCTGCAGGTCAGGATAGGTGACTCCACTATTTTGATTATAAGGGAGAAGGTCATGGGTATCCCTGTGACCTTCGACAGTGCTGGAGAAGTCAGACACAGTCTGAACTTCTACATATTCCCTGATCTACCCTTTGATCTTGTTTTCTCCATGCAGTGGCTGAAAGCAGTTAACCCAAGGATCGACTGGCAGATCCCCAAGGTGAGCTGTCGGACAGCAAGGGGGTGTATCAGCCACGTATGATTGCAGCTGAACACCACCCTAAGACCTCATGCTTCTGCTTGAGAGCGAGGGAGTTCTACGCTCTCTCACGCCAGTACGACCATGAGCGTCTGTTTATAGCGCTGGTCAAACAAACAGATGCTCCCACTGTTTCCTGTCCTCCTGAGATACAGGAGGTAGTTGACCGGTATGCTGATCTGATGCAGGAGCCCTTTGGACTACCCAACCGGCCAACCAAGCATCACATTGAGCTGCTGCCTGGAGCGGTCCCTCCCAAGGGCCGCATCTACAGGATGTCTCCTGCTGAGCTTGAGGATCTTAGACGACAGCTTGAGACCCTGACCAGCAAGGGATGGATCAGGCCCAACACTTCTGAATTCGGTGCCCCAGTCCTCTTTGTCCCAAAGGGGAGTGGCGAGTTCAGAATGTGCATTGACTACAGGGGTCTCAACAAAATCACTAGGAAGAGCACAAAGCCACTTCCTAGGATTGATGACCTTCTGGATATGGTTCAGGGGTGCACTATTTTTAGCAAAGTCGACCTCAAGTCTGGCTATCACCAGATTGAGATGGCAGAGGAGGATGTCCACAAGACAGCCTTCAAAACCAGATATGGTACTTATGAGTATCTGGTTATGCCATTTGGACTTTGCAATACACCTGGCACATTCCAGACAGAGATGCACCGCATCTTCAGGCCGTACCTGGATAAGTTTATGGTTGTCTACCTGGATGATATCCTGGTATTCAGCAAAACTACCAGGGAACATGCGGAGCACCTGACTCTGGTTCTTCAGTCATTACGTGACAGCCAGTACAAGATCAACAAAGAGAACTCCTCTTTTGGAGTTCCCTCTGTGATCTACCTGGGTCATGTAATCTCTGGAGATGGTCTGGCCCCTGAAGCAGCCAAAATTGCTGCTATTCAGGATTGGCCACAACCCCAGACAGTGAGAGATGTCCGGTCTTTCTTGGGTCTGGCCTCATGCTACAGAAAGTTCGTCAGGAACTTTTCTGCAGTGGCTGCACACCTGACTAACATCACAAAGAAAGACACTGCCTTTCTTTGGTCTCTTCACTGCCAGATGACCTTTGCACGACTCAAACAGGCCTTGACTCGTGCACCCGTTCTGAAGTTACCTGACCCCACTTTGCCATTTGTCCTGACCACTGACGCCAGTCAATATGGCATTGGGGCAGTACTTCAACAAGATGATGGGAATGGTCTGAGACCTGTCGAGTTCATGAGTAAGAAGATCAAGACTCATAAGCTTCAGGACTCTACCTACGAGAAAGAGTTGTATGCTCTTGTCAGTGCCCTGAAACATTGGAAACACTTTCTCCTGGGCAGGCACTTCAAGATCTTCTCTGATCATTCCACTTTGCAGTGGTTGAAGTCCCAGGGAGAGTTGAACGACAAGTTGGCATGCTACATTCAGTTCATCGATCTGTTTGACCTGGAACTGAAACATAAGAAGGGCTGCTACAATAAGGTAGCTGACGCCCTCTCTCGTAAGCCTGATTCTTTCGCGCTGATCTCCTCTACTCACTCCTTTGGAGAGGAAGTCCGTCAGACCATTACTCGCCTACTGCCTCAGGATCCGACTTATGGACCCATCATCAGGAATCTGCAAGCAGATCCCAATTCTGAACCTGGCTATGCTATGAGTTCAGATTTGCTGTACACCTACAGCAGAGGAGAGGAACGCTTATGTATTCCAGAGGATCAACAGCTGAGGACACTGCTGATGTCAGAGTGCCACGATGCGCGTGGACACTTCGGGTTCTTAAAGTCGTATGCAACCCTGTCGCAACGCTTCTTCTGGAGGGAGATGCAGAGTGATATGCTGCGCTATGTGGAAACCTGTGAGCTATGTCAGAGGAACAAGGTTCAGCGTAAACCTCCTCTAGGACTACTCAAGCCCTTGTCCATACCTTATGGTCCTGCACAGTCTGTCTCTATTGATTTCACAGACTTAGGCAAGACCACCCCTCGTGGCATGTGTCAGGTCATGGTCTGCGTTGATAGGTTTTCCAAATATGCAGAGTTCATCCCCTTACCAGAGGTGGCGAGGGTCCTAGCTGTGAGAGCATCCTTTTTTGAGAGGTGGGTCACGCACCATGGACCGCCCACTTCTATTGTCAGCGATCGAGATCCCCGATTCTGCAGCGATGAGTGGCAGTCCTACTGCAAGGACTACCTGCACTCACGCCTGGACATGACTTCTGGTCATTATCCTGAAGCCAATGGATTGGCTGAAGTGATGAACCAAGTCCTATTCCAGCTGCTGCGTCCTGTGACTCTGTCATCTCGCCAGATCAACAGGACTGGGATCTCCACTTAGCGAGGGCACAACTCATGTATAACATGTCTGTCCACTCCTCGACAGGGTTCAGTCCCTACCGGTTACACTGGGGACGTGAGCCATGACAGCCTCTCGATGATATCATCGATAAGGCTAAGCCTGATCTGACCCCAGGCACGACAGAGTTCACCAGACGCTATCGTCTGGATGTGGAAAGAGCCCGCGCGAACTTGTTCAAAGCCCAAAAGACTATGATTGAACAAGCTAATCGCCACAGGCGGCCTTCCCCCATCCGCACTGGTGATCATGTCTGGGTGGCCAGCTCTGAGCTGTCGAGGGAGGAGGACATCTCCTCCAAGTTGTTGCCACGTTACCTGGGTCCATGGCAGGTCCTAGATACAGTGGGCGTTGATCCCTTCGGTCCGTCGTATGTCATCGACGTCCCGCTGCATCTACGTACCTACCCGGTCTTCCATGCTTCCAAGTTGCTGCCTTTCACTCCAGCTGATGCATTTCCCGACCGGCCCCCTCAGTTCGGTCCACCAATCCCTGGTAAGGGATACGACATTGACCGGATTGAGGATGAGTGGGGCACAGGCCCCGATCGGAAGTATCTTGTCAGGTTCGCGTTCCAGCCACCTTCAGAGAGCCGATGGTTCTACAGGAAGGACCTGATCAAGACAACAAAGTCTATTTTTCTGCGGTATGAAGCGGCCCAGAAGGGCAACCTTCGTCGTTCACCCCGCCTACACCCCTAGCTCGGAGGTCCTCGCTCCCGGGGAGGGTAAGCGTGCAATGACTTGCTGATTTCTGCTGCCGAGATTCACTGCGAGGCTGTACACTAACCGTAGGGTTAGTTTTGTTATTTTGTTTGGCTGAGGGCTAACCGAGAGACCTGTCTGTGAGGAAATTCGTGAGGGACAGATCTGCAAATCCGGGAAAATACAGGCCCGGTACTAACCCGAATTTCTACAGCTACCCTAACTGCCTACAGCAGGCCCGGGCTACCCCTAGGACAGACAGGCCCTCAGTGGCCTATTCTGCTAGACGGTCCTATAG